GCTTGTTTTTTAATCAAGGCGTTCCACCAAACACTGTCCACCATAGGTAACCATTATCACATTTGACACATCAGTGTCACAGTGTTTAGCATCACAGCAACCACAAGTTACCTCTGTACAGCAAATGGAGAGGTCAGTGTTATATCACTTAGAAGAATGTTTGATCAAAAACAATTAAAACCAGGCCTGAAGGCCCAAATGCCTTTTTAAATAGGAAGCCGAGGCCGGCCCAAATAAAAACCAATTTACACCCAATGGCGAGTAATAGGAGTACTGATTTCTCAGTATTATGTAATGGGAAATCAGCAGCAACAAAAAAGGGCAATTTGTAATAGGTTACGGTGCGTGACCTTCCATGGCAGTGTAAGTATCTTCCAGTTAGACCTTGATCAACAACTACTGTAAATATGGAAATGGAATATTTTGTTTCATAATAGGAATCAAAAGGGCTGAACTCGCTCAGCATATCTTAAGCTCAAGGAACTGAAGAACAAATTCAAACCTCGAGTTGCTATAATCAAGGATGCTTTCGGCAGAATATTAAATGATCCCGGAAGTATTAAAAGAAGATGGAAGGAATATACTGAGTCACTGTATCGAAAGGAATTGGAAGACACAGAAAAATTTCATGAAACAACATATGAGCAAGAGCGTATGGTGATGAAAGAAGAAGTTCAGGCTGCTTTGAAGGAAATGGCAAAAAATAAGGCTCCAGGAATAGATGGTATACCAATTGACATATTTCAGTTAACAGATGCTGCCATGGACGTGCTCACCAAGTTGTGCCAGGAAGTCTGGAGAACGACCACTTGGCCAACTGACTGGAAGAGATCGATATTTGTTCCTATCCCAAAGAAAGGTGACCCAACAGAATGTGGAAACTACAGAACAATTTCACTGATTTCACATGCAAGCAAGATTTTACTGAAGATTATCCAAAAACAACTAGAACAGCACATCAACAGAGAACTACCAGAAGTCCAGGCTGGTTTCAGAAGGGGTCGTGGTACTAGAGATATTCTAGCTGATGTTAGATGGATCTTGGCTGAAAGCAGGGAATACCAGAGGAATGTCTGTGTTTCATTGACTATGCAAAGGCATTTGACTGTGTAGATCATAACAAACTATGGCTGACTCTGAGAAGAATGGGAATCCCAGAACACTTGATCGTTCTAATGCGAAACTTATACTTGGACCAGGAGGCAGTCGTCAGAACAGAGCAAGGGAACACTGTATGGTTCAAAATTGGGAAGGGCGTATGCCAGGGATGCATCCTATCTCCATACCTTTTCAACCTATATGCAGAACAGATTATCCGGGAGGCTGGGCTCTATGAGGAGAAATGTGGGGTCAAGATTGGTGGACGATTTATCAACAACCTACGTTATGCGGATGACACAACCCTGCTTGCTGAAACTGAAGAGGACCTGAAGCGCCTGCTGCAGAGTGTCAAGGACTGCAGCCTACAATATGGATTGAGGCTCAATGTCAAGAAGACAAAGATTCTCACCACTGGACCAATTGGCAGCATCAGGATGGATGGTGAAGAGATTGAGATTGTACACAGCTTTAGTTTGCTTGGCTCCACAGTCAACAGTCTTGGCACCAGCAGCCAGGAAATTAAAAGGCGCATTGCCATGGGAAAGTCTGCTGTTAGGGACCTCTCCAAAGTACTGAAGAGCAATGGTGTCTCTCTGGAGACTAAGGTGCGTCTGATACAGGCTATGGTCTTCGCAATCACTTGTTATGCATCAGATAGTTGGACAATGACCAAGGAGGATAGAAGAAGAATTGATCCCTTTGAGCTGTGGTGCTGGAGAAGAGTATTGAGAATACCATGGACTGCTAGGAAAACAAACAGATTTGTCCTGGAAAGGGTTAAACCAGGTGGCTCCTTGGAGGCAAGGATTCTGAGGCGCCATCTAACATGCTTTGGACATGTTGTGAGGAGAGACCGGTCCTTGGAGAGGGACATCATGCTTGGGAGGGTGGAGGGACAGCGCAGGAGAGGAAGGCCCTCCATGAGGTGGATTGATTCGGTGACTGGTATAATTGGAATGGGAGTGTCAGAGACAGTGCGATTGGCACAGGACAGAGCGGAGTTTAGGGTTGTTGTACATAGGATCGCTATGAGTCGCAAGTGACTCGACAGCACAACAACAACAACAATAGGCATCTGCTTGATCTTTTTAATTATTTCTGAATGTTAATCTGTCCAGAAGAATACGCATTTCACTAACCTGGGGCTATAATCATAAATGTCTTCTATACCCTCAATTGTCTGTCGGAGGGGTTATGCAAAGTGGTGAGGACTCTGGAAAACTGAGGAGCAACTTCTCAATAGAGAATGGGGAGGGTGTAGATGACCATGAGACCTTATCATGGACCAAATGTTTCCAGATCTTTCAATGTCTCAGATGTCACATGTCTGAATTTTTTCAAAATTTCTGAATTTTTAAAATTTGGAACCATATTAAAAATTAGGAAAACAACATTGTCACTTCTTAAAAGTCAAGGCTATAGATGGCTTACTGATAAGGAGTTGCTCTGCTGACCCAGAGGACCATGGTTCGAATCCACCAGCTGCTCCATGGAAGAAAGATGGGCAATCTCCCCCACGCTGTTTACTGCCTCTGAAAACCTATTGAAGTCAATCCTAACTCCACATAGCACAAAACCTACCCTAATCTAGCCAGACTGTGACCTCCAGTATCAAGTCTCCCCCTTTTAACAATCAAAGCCCTAGAGGAAGCCAGGTAAGGTGAAATCCTTGAAGGCAAATAGCTAAGTTTGTGCCAGAGCCAAGACTGGAAGCCAAGTTTCAAAGTAAAACATTTAATGTCCCATCACTCCATTCTGTACTTGACAGCTTCCTCTTGGACATACCCTTCCAAACAAACTTGGGGGAGTACCTGAGCAGTATATCTAAACAATTTACAAATTAATTAGAGTCTGTCTAGTCATAAACCCTGTTTTTAACGACAGATCAGAGTTGTTACCCCAATGGCTGGTGCTTGAATACACCTTGGAAGAAAAGTGGGCAGTCTCCTCCTTTACAAATTTACAGCCTTGGAAACTGGAGAGTCTCTAGAAACAGTATAGCTAGGACAGTAGTGGGTTTGGTCTGCGTCTTTGTCTATTCACTGTAGTTTAACCTTGAAAATAATGAGAGTATATTTAAAAGAGCTCACGAAAAGGAGTAAAAAGATGGGCTGCCATTCGAATCCATCAGCAGCTCCACTGGAGGAAGATGAGCAGTCTCCTCTGTGTGATTAATTGCTTCTGAAAAACCTGTCAGAGAGTCAGCTATGATCAGTTCTGACTCGACAGTACTCAACAACAACAACATGAAGAATCTAGAGAGCTCTGGTGTCATAGTCCATGAGGATGGACCCAAAGGTGGGGCCTGTCTGCTAGTCTGAACCCACCAGCAGTTTTGTGGGAGAAAGATAGCCAATCTCCTCCTGTGCTCTTTACACCTCTTTGGACCCATGGGGGGCAGGGTGGTCCAAAATGACTGACTGATGAAGATGTCCCTGAATGGCACAAAACGTTAAGCAGTGGACAATTAAAATTGTTGTTGATTTGAATCCATCCAGAGGCACCTTGGGAGACACTTCTGAAAGCTCCTAAGTTTGACAACCCAAGGAATGTAGATCTACTCTGCAGATTCTGCAGATTAAGTGTTGCCAAGGGGTAAAACTGATTCGACGTTCATAGACTTGTTTTTAGAAGACGATAAAATAAGAATATGTGCATAACGTGGCTGGTACAGAGCAGGCACTTAGCTAACACAACAATAATGATTATAATGATAAAATAACATCGAGAAGATATTGTTTTATGTCCCTAGTATGTAAATTGGCAGCATCAGGATGGATGGTGAAGAGACTGAGATTGTTAACAGCTTTATTTTGCTTGGCTCCACAGTCAACATTCTTGGCACTAGCAGCCAGGAAATTAAAAGATATATCGTGATGGGAAAGTCTGCTGTTAGGGACCTCCCCAGAGTACTGAAGAGCAATGGTGTCACTCTGGAGACTAAAAGTGCGCCTAAGAAAGGCCATGGTCTTTGCCATAACTTGCTGTGCATTAGAGAGCTGGACAATGACTAGGGATGATAGGAGAATTGATGTCTTTGAGCTGTAGTGCTGGAAAGAGTATTGAATATACTATGGACTGCTAAGAAAACGAACAGGCTCATCCTAGAGAGGGTGAAACCAGGTTGCTCCCTGGAGGCAAGGATTCTGAAGCTTCGTCTGACATATTTTGGACATGTTGCGAAGAGCCATCAGTCGTTGAAGAAGGACGTCATGCTTGGGAGGGTGGAGAGATAGTGCAGGAGAGACGCTTTATGAGGTGGTTTGATTCAGTGACGCTGTAATGGGGGTGGGTGTGTCGGAGACAGTAAGTCGGGAATAGGACAGAGCAGGGTTTAGGGCTGTTGTACATAGATAGGGTCGCTATGCGTCGCAGGCAACTCAACAGCACTTAACAACAAGAAGTAGGTGAAGGTGCAACCAAAATGTTCCTTGGAGTCAAAGATAGTGAAATTTCTTCTCACATACTTTGGATATGTGAGCCAATTCTTAAGGTGGGTGGTCTTGAGTATGTCAGAAATGATGATGGTACAGGATAGGGCTGGGTTCAGATTCTTTGTTCATAGGGTCACTATGAGTCACAGCTGATGGCACTTATCAAGAAGTATAAGAAAGTTGGGGAAAAGCAAAAATATTTGACGATGGGCGAAGGTTATGGATATATCTCAAAGTCATTCTTTCTATTAGGAAATGATAAAGCCCTTTCCTTCTCTGGACGCCAAGGCCAGGGTCACAGACAAATCCAGCAGCATCTTCATTGTCTTCATAATATTGATAGAGCAAAGGGAGAACCCAGGTGGCTTCCTGGAACAGGGGTGAGAAGTGGCAGGTTTCCGGCTGCTAAGTGGCGCCCCGTTCTTTAGCCCCAGAGCTAGGCCATCAGCAGGGACATGCTTTCACCTGCGAGCTTTTTCTGCAGAATGCGGGAGGCCGCCCCCGCGGAGGGAGGAGGGGGCGGAGGCAGAGGCGGAGGCGGCACCCTGGGGCCGAGGCAGGGGAGGCCGGGACCATCGCAGTGACAATTTCTGTTCCGGAGGCGGCGGCTGCTACTACAATCTCGGGGTCCACGGCCCGCGCGTGGTTGGCGAGGGCGGGCGCTGGCAGCCCCCGCCTAGAGGGGGGAGGAAGGAGAGGAAAGGAGGAAGGCGGGCGAACAGCGCGGTGAGCCGAGCCGGTGGAATACGCCAGCTCCCTTGGCGTGCGGAGAGGGGAGGCGCGGCCGAGCCTGGCGAGCGGGCGCCTCCGAGCCGGTGCCCGGGTCACCGGCTGCGCGCCTTCCAGCCTGAGCCACCGCGCGCGGCCAGGGCTGCAGCGGACACACGGATGCGAAGACCACACGGCCGGTGTGGGGCCAGCTGCCGCAGTCGCCGTCCCACGCGGGCTCCGAACCTCGGGAGGTGCTGGTGAGCAGGCGCGCGCGTGTGTGTGCGTGAGTGTGAGCGCGCCCCGGCGCTGGCGGCGAGTGTGCACGCGGAGTGCGTGTGCCCCTCCGCCACGACCCACCTCCACTCCCCGCTGGGGCGCTCGGAGAAGATGCGCTAGGCTGACCGCTGCCTTCCTTCCTTCAGGCGCAGGCAAGGGTCACAGGCGGCTGGGCTTCCTCTGTGCACCTCAACTGGCCTGGGGACACATTCCACCTTGATGGGGACGGAAGGAAGCCGTGGATCCTGGTGGCAGGGCGGGACTCTGGCGGTGACTTAGTCGTGGATGTGTGCGTGTTTCTGGCTCTGACTTGATGCATCCGGGCCGCTGATGGCGACTTTCAAAGAGACCACCGACCACACTTTATCTGGCAGCGCAGGATGTGGGGAGCAAGGGTTGCAAGTCTTGAAAAACAGACCTTTCACCCTAGCTAGATGTGTGGCGCACCTTTTAGATAGGTTTGCTTTTATGAGCGACACAAAACATTTCCTCTACCCCTGAATAATCGTAGTTTTCTCCGCAGGTCCCCCGATGAAATAAAGTGTCAGGAAAATGCAATTTTCCAGAACTTTCTATAAAAGACCCCAAACTCCTGATAAACAAGAATCTAAAGTACTAATCTAATTCCTGAATAATACATATATTTATGTATATAAAGAAAAGTTTTAACGGGAAGTGAATGAAATCTTATCTAGTGTATTGTAATCTTAAGTGTTTTAAGTGGGAGTGAGGGAGTGTTCTGGAAAGCTGTGTTTGGTCCTTATGTAAAACAAATATCTTTCAAAGCAAACCCCAGAATGTGTGGAAAACACATTCTGCCACAGCGGAGAATAAAATTAAGTCCCAAGTTTCAAAGTCTTTCCAAAAATACAGTGCACATAGCTAGGATGCTAATTTATGATCTCATTCTTCAAAACCTGTATAAGGTCAGTGTCAGATTTATAGCAGGAGCTAAATTACACCCAAATGTTAGGTTTGGGGAATAGTTTTGTGCTGTTTTCTATGCCAGTGTAAAGCCTCTTTCCCCACACCTTGTTTCAGTTGGCAGTTTTATGTTTACTATGTCTATAGGCCTAGGCTGTGGGAGTTGTGCTTCTAACCCAAAGGCCACGCATGTCTGGCAATTCAAATAGACCATTGCCTCTGCAGGAGAAAGATGGACGATCACTTGCTGTGGGATTTACCTGCTCAGCAACCCAGCCTGGAATTAGCTATGTGTTAGTTTTAGTTCCACAGGAGGTGAGTGAGGGGTTGAACTTTAAAAATGCACTCCCCAGCCAGATTTTTGTGGGAATATCTGTGCTTACTTTTAATACAAATGAATGTCTTTGAGCAGTAGGCAAATGTTGTTTACCATTTGCTCCATTAGAGCTTCTTCCTTCACAGGCAAGAACTAATCACTGGAACCTGTCTAGCAAATGAGCCAGCTGATTGTTTTCAGTTCAAGTATATATGCAGTTAGTTGTATGGCATGTGGGAATACACGTTTGAATAGACTTCAGACATAAATTATGCCTTAGCGGGTCTAAGAGAATTTTAAGGAACTTGATTTATATATTTTTCAAATTCGTGTTAAGTGCCTTCGAGTCAAGTATGACTCTAGCAACCCTATAAACAATAGATGTGAATTCTATCCTGTTTTGTACCATTCTCATGTCGTTGACACATTTGAGCCTGTTAGTGCAGACACACTGTCAGTCCATCTTATTGAGGGTTTTCCTGTCCTTTGCTGCCCTACCACCTTTCTAAGCATGATGTCACTTTCTAAGAAATAGGTGGCAACCACTTCTGAAATAGCTTGCCTCTGGCTACCCTATGAACATGGAGAAATGATGAAAGTTATACAAATGTTCAGGTCTTTCGTTCATAGGGTCGCTACGAGTCAGTTGCCTATGGCTCAACGTCAGTTAACAACAACCACCACCAGGAGATGAAGCTTCACCATCTTTGCTTCCAAGTAAAGTACTGGTAAATCATCAGCAAGTGAGTTAAATCCTTTACCCATATTGTAGTCTTAAGCACACGTTCTTGTCAGCTCTCACCGTATTTCGCAGGATTCTCTTTGAGAGTGGGAAGCCAGAAGGAAGGATTGTCCTTTTGACAGGCCATAGGCTATTCAGTACTCTTTTCCAACACTACTGAAATATATCCATTTTTCTGTTAACCTCATTTAAAGTCCAGCTTTGAGGTACATAGGAATTAATGGGAAAAAAGCATAGTTTAAATCTGGTGCACCTTAGTCTTTAAACTGACATTATTGCTCATTAGCACCTTGGAGAGGTCTTTAACCTCAGATGTTCCTAATAAAATACATCTTCTGATTTCTTGACTGCAGTATCAAGGGTACCAATTACAAATCTAAGCAAGACAAAATCATTGACAATTTCAATTTTTGGTCCATCCATCAGGATGTTGATTGTTGTCCCAGTGGTGAATATTTTTCTTCCCCTGATGATCAGATGTAGTCTATATAGAAGGCATAGTAGTCTTTGATTTTCTGCAGCAAACCTTTCAGCAACCATGGCTCTGCCATCTGCATAAGGCAGGTTGTTGATGCCTCTTCCTCCAATACTGATGTCACTATCTTCATCACAAGTCCTAGCTTCTCCAATGATTTTCTCACTGAGGCTCAATGTCAAGAAGACAAAGATTCTCACCACTGGACCAATTGGCAGCGTCAGGATGGATGACGAAGAGATTGAGAGTGTTCACAGCTTCAGTTTGCTCGGCTCCACAGTCAACACTCTTGGCACCAGCAGTCAGGAAATCAAAAAGCGTATCACGATGGGAAAGTCTGCTGTTAGGGACCTCTCTAAAGTACTCAGGAGCAACAGTGTCTCTGGAGACTAAGGTGCACCTGATACAGGCTATGGTATTTGCAATCACTTGTTATGCATCAGAGAGTTGGACAGTGACTAGGGAGGACAGAAGGAGAGTGGATGCTTTTGAGCTGTGGTGCTGGAGAAGGGTACTGAATGTACCATGGACTGCCAGGAAAACAAACAGATTCATCTTGGTGAGGATTAAACCAAGCTACTCCTTGGAGGCAAGGATTCTGGGGCTTCGTCTGACATACTTTGGACATGTTGCAAGGAGGGACGGGTCCTTGGAGAGGGACATCATGCTTGGGAGGGTGGAGGGACAGCGCAGGAGGGGAAGACCCTCTATGAGATGGATTGATTCAGTGATTGGGGTAATCGGGATGGGTGTGTCAGAGGTGATGCGGTTGGCGCAGGATAGAGCAGGGTTTAGGGCTGTTGTGCATAGGGTCGCTATGAGTCGCAAACGACTCGATGGCACATAACAACAACAACAACAATAATAGTTTGAGTAGTTATGGGGAAAGGATACAGCCCTGGTGCACACCTTTTTCTTAGTTTTAAACTATACGGTGTTTGCTTCTTGTTCTAGGATTCCCATTCTTCTTAATATTAGACGTAATTTGTGATGTTCCACACAATCAAATGCCTTTGCATAGTCAATAGTCTTGCTCAAATATATGAGAGAGAGAAGAAATGTAAGAAAATGTATGTACATGTGTCCTGTCTTGTGGGCCTGGTGGAAACGTTAACCAGTTGGAAACATTCTGATTAACTCACTGAATTTGTGATTTTGACACTTTTTCTTGACCCAGTGAAGAGTGTTAGTTGTGAGGGAGTTGCTTCCATCTCATGGTGTTAGAGAGCAGAAGTGCAGGAAGGTTTTCTTGACTAATCCTACTAGAAGTTAATACTCAGACTTTTCTTCTGCTTACAAATGAGTGGGACAAAACTTCCAATTTTAAGTTAGTAACTGAAGAAATATCATTAAGCCATCCTGGGACCTTTGATGCAATTGTTGAAGTGTTCAGCTACAGACCACCATAGATAACACAAAGACGTGACCACTTCTGTAAAGATTTACAGCCTTGGAAACCTCATGGGCCAGTTCTACTCTGTTTTGCAGGGTTGCTGTGAGTCAGAATCTACTTCGGGACAGTGACGGGTTTTGATCACTTAAAGGGTTCAAGTGACCATGGTTGTTGTTGTTAAGTGCCGTCAAGTCACAGGCTACTCATAGTGACCCTATGAAGGAGAGTCCTCCACGCTTGGGTGCCTTTCATCCTCTCTCCAGGTTCATAGGGTTTCTTCGGAGGCAAGCTATTACGGAAGTGGATGCCACTCCTCCTTCCAATGACCACGGTAATCAATGAAAAAATTAGAGTCAGCTTTCCATTGTTAGGGGTAGTAGAGGGCAGCTGCTCAATAAACGTTTGTTAAGTGAATTAACATTCTAGAATGCCTTTGTCTTTCCAACCTATCTACCCCATCTCTTAGAGTCTTGGTTTCCTTTTTTACACTGTACCTTCATGAGACTCACTTGATATTTCATCAGCTTGAAGCCTGGGATATAGTCATAGAAGATCAATGTCTTCAACTGAAGGAGCATTAATATTTCCTCCCAAGTAAAAGAAACACCAACAGAAGCGACCACGCTGGTACCTGCTTATTTGCTTTCCCCAGCTCTCTGAGCATGTGAACTGACCTGCTGAATGTCTGAGTGTCAGAAAACCTGAATTGACATCAGAATGTTCAAGTCAGGAATAGTCTGGATGTAGCTACATCTGGACGTAGCTTTTGTCAGAAATTATTTGCATTTCTAAGCAAGTCAGATGAACTTCTGGTATAATCCTGCCTCTCCTCATGCCAGGCGGTGAACCGTGTAAGCATTTGGCAAATTACTGAGCCTCCAGGGTACCTCGTGTTTGATTTTTCTCTTTACATTTTGTCATAAATTCATGCTCACTTTGTCCATCAATGTGGTCGGCTTAGAGAGAGTAATTTAGCTGGCTGGTTACTTAGTAACTTGTGTTTTTATAAAAGCACTCACTTGATATAAACACTAGTGATTTCTGTTCTTTGATTTCTTCCAGCTAAGCTTTTCAAGATACCCTTCGAAATTGGTGCATTTTAAGGAGTGCTGGTGGTAAAGTCTGAAACGTGTTTCACTATTAACCAAAAAGCTCAGCATCTCCAGTTGTTTATATCTATCCATAACTCGGCTGAAGAAAAAGAAGTAGGCTTTTCTGTACTCAGAAAACGGATAGCTGGAGGGTCCCTATGAATAGAAATTGACTGATGACAACAAGTATATTATTGGT